TGAGGTGGAGGAGCAACCATTGAAAGCACATTCAGAGCAACAGCAGAGGAGGACATCAGACTACTGGAGTGAACTGATAGAAAGGGTAAGGGCAGACAACTCCTAGAGCAGCGGTTCTCAAAGTGTGGTCCATTGAACGCCAGAGGCCCTAAGGCCCTTCAGGAGGTCCAAGAGTTCACTACGGTCACAATAATACTAAGCTATCATGTGCCTTTATCACCATGTTGGCATTTACTAACAGCACAAGAGCAATGGTGGGTGAAACTGCTGGCGCCTTGGAACGTAGCACCAAGCTGTACTAACAATCACTGTTATTCTTCAATGACAATTTCATCTAAGGTTATCTTTATTACGTGGTAAAAAACTATTAACTTTATGAAATCCTGCATGACAAGGTAGGAAGTATGCATAAAGCACTTCTGCTGCCTAACAAAGGACAATGGTCTCAAGAAAAATCACTTTTGTAATTGTTTGAGTTGTGATTTGAACTAGTTGCTTTTTTTCTTGGAACACCATTTACCATTTTTACTTGGAAGAACAACTGACAAACTATGGCTTTTCAGACTTGGATATCTGGCAGGTATTATCTTGAAAAATGAACAAAGTAAGCTTGTCACTTAAAAGAAAACAACTGACAGTATTTGTTGCCAAAGATAAAATATAAGCTTTCAAGCAATAATTAGTTTTGGAAAATTTATATCTGCCACCCAGATACAACTTCCCAATATTTAAAACTTTCTGATGAGACTGATGGTGATTAAACAATGTGATTTTTTAATACTATATAATGAAATATGTCAATATTCAGGAGATCTGCATAGTTCAGATCTCAATATTTCCCAAGTGGCCCATATACTGTTATAAAACCATATATAGGTTAAAGATCCATTCAAAGTACAATGAAACCAGTGGATTTTAATTCAACAAGTTCCAAAAGTTCATTCACATTGTTTCAGATTCCACACTGCAATTTACTTTTCAGAAATTACTACTCGTCAAGTTTTGGTGCAGTAACAAAAAAAGACCATCCACAATTATTTAAAAGGGCTATTAAAAATCCCCTCCCATAGGACAGGCCTTTATTCCTCTGGAGGAAATGGCCTGAACTTTGCTATGAGGTAGACCAACTGATTTGTACAGTAATGGGGCATCACTTTTGATCTTTTTGTAGTTTCTATTAAACTGGAACGGAGGGGAAAAAAAAAAATCCCCTTCCTTTTCCTACTTCATACTCAAGTGAGGCCTAATTTTCTTCATATACTTCACCAACATATTGTGTGAACTGCACTAGAAAATATGATAATCCAGCTGTCTTCTAGTAAGTCAGAGAGGAGATTTACAAAAATGTAAAGCAATGCCATTCTTTTCACTAACTTTTTTTTAAATACAAGGTTTCTTTTTTCATAAAAACATGTCATCTGTGCTACCACATAGTGAGCTTATTATTCTTGCTTTTAAACTGAATTAAATATTTCTTAGTTTTAATTTTTAATATGGTAAACACAGATATAACCCACATAAACAAAAGTTATTTGGAATTCTAAAAATTTAAGAATGTAAAGAGGTCCTGAGACCAAAAAGTTTGAGAAACAACTGCTTTAAAGGTTTGCTAAGAAGGGAAGAAAAAGAAGGCAACAGCTTGAAGGAACAGAGGGGCCCAGAGGACTTGTTTGGGCAACAATAGTTATTCTGACTTTCTTGCCCACAATAAATATAGGTACTTGGAAAAACGACACAATATTGTAATTTTCTAAAGTTTTATGTAAACAATTTAAAATACTCAACAGTTTAACTACTACAATTGAAAATATACAAATTTCTGATGTGTGCAATTCATTTGCAGCATTAAATCAAGTTTTTTATAAAGTAACAATGAAGATTTAAAAAACAAGAAAATCAAATTCACTTGTAAAAAGTTATCAAACAAAAAACATTTTAAGTACTTTATGCCACAGATTGTTAATTTTATTTGTAGGGGAAAGTAATGCCACACTGAGCTTTATTCTGGAAAAAAAAAATTTTTTTTTAATTAGCCATTACTACTTACTGTCCTTCAATGAGCCATGTGCACTTCGTTTTGTATTTATAATTTCCAGGTCCATCTGTTACAAACCCAGAAGATCCAGTTAGTCTGTTAAAAACAAAAACAAAAACAAAATTTAAATCCATCAAAATTTCATATATTAATAATATCTTTCTTAATTCTCAATACCCAAGTTAAGCACAGTGAATAAATTAATGCATACCATATAACCAGAAGAAAATAACTGGATAATTACATTAGGATTATACAAATATAGATGAAACAAATACACACACTTACGAAAAGGAGATACAAATATACCCAGCGAAAATCAGGACTTTTTTTTTTTTTACTAGAGACGTGGAGAAAGGCTATGAAGGTTCACTATTAGTCTCTGTCACAGCATGTAATCTAATACTTAGATGTGAGGGGAAGTCTGACGGAGGGCTTTTAGGAAATATTTCTCTTTCTTAAAGACAGTGTGGTAGACAGAGCGATGTGCCATCTATTGTAGATTTCCCCTTCAAGGAAGGACCTGCTGCAGCAGGGAGCATGGTCATCAGACAGCCTCCAGCTGTCAGTTTCCTCAGGAGCTGCCTAGCCAGGGCAGCCCACACCAGAATGGGTATAAAGGCTGGGGCACTTCAATTCAACGTGGAACAACTCTGACGGGCAATCCTTGCTCCAGAGCTTCCCTTGGTCAGGCCTGCATTGAAGCTCAACTTCTTCCTTTGCCCAGTTCTGCTGCTGGCCCCTTCCTCTCACAGGTGTTATAACCAACTTGTACCCCAAACTTCCTCTCAGCAAATGCTTCCAAGAAACCCAACCTACAACAGACATCCAGAGAGACCATCTTTCTTCTCCCTCTGGAATTTGCTACAGTTAAGATTTTGCAGCTGAAGTACTGCAGCCATCATGCTAGGAGCCTGAACACAGAGCCAACACCAAGGATGACAAATCAAAGGAAGGCAAAGGTCTGTCCCTGAAGAGCAATACCAACCAGCCACAGAGACCACCCAGTTTTATAGGTAATTAAATTTCCCACTGGTTCCGGTTTTAGTGTGCACGCTTCCTTGATTCTTTGTTTTAGGTTCTTAGCTAAAAAAGTTTATGGCTTTCTATTATGCTTGCTTTGCTCCTAAGAATTTCTATGGCCTTCCCATGGATGTGCTCAGGTATTTACAAATCAGCATCGCTTTTAGAAGATAAATAGGTCATTTTTATTTTAAATACTATCTTTAAACATACACATTTACTTAATTTTACAGATGATCAATAGATACAATCACAGACAGGGTTTTTTTGTCAACTAAAGGACAATTCTTTTTTTTTTTAAATCTCACCAAGTACTCACACCCACCCCCCACCAAGATAAACATTTAACCACTAGCAAGTATTCTTAACTATTTTTCTTCATACTCATGAGCCCAGGATATATGCATGGTTTTCTTAAATCATTTTTTGTTTAAATTATTATACAAACTTTTCTGCATCTTCCTTTTCTCACTCAACAAAAGTTTGTGGGACTCTGTCCAATGGATATTAATCTAATTCATTCATTTTCATGTAGCATAATATTCTAACTTAGGGTGGTGTCATTTTTTTCTGCCTTTCTCCTACTAACATTCATTTTATTTTCAGTTGGTTAACATTATGCACATTGCTGCAATAAGTATCCCTATACATATGGCCTTACTTGTGCTTTTCTTTCTAAGAATAGAATCTTAGGAGAAGGATCACTGGGCCAAAAGAAATATAAATTTTCATTATTAACCAGGTTGCCCAGTTATTTCCCAAAACTGTAACAATTCACCTGCAATATATGAAAATATTCTATTCTCCACATCCCCTCCATACTGGGTGTTTTTATTTATTTATTTTTTTTAAGATTTTTATTGGGGAATTGGGGGATGGGAACAGTGCTGGGGAATAGGGGGAAGAGGAACAGACAAGTTGCTGTCGTTTTGTTCTTCAGTCTAGTTGTGGAGGATGTTGCTTCACTGGCCCAAGTTGGCACCATCATTGCGCTCTTCCCAGGTGAGGCACATCAGTCGCCAGCTTCTGGACGGCCGCTCACTGCGGCTGCTGGCCGCTCACGCTGGCTGCTGGCTACATACGGTAGCCCATGGCAACCCACTGCCACAGGGGCTGCAGCCTACGCCGTCGCCGGCGACTCACGGCAGCCCAGCTCCAGGTTGAGCTGTTGTTCAGCATCTTAGCTGTAGAGGGCAGTGTCACTGGCCCTCATATGTGGGATCCGAACTGGGGCCCTCTGGCGTCCCAAGCCAGTTCTTAACCATCGCGCCACTCGGCCGGCCCTTTATTTCTTTTTAATTTTACCAGTTTTTAATTTGAGATTCCCTGTGTTCTAATGAATGGCTAACAAGTTGTTACTGAAAATTTAGAGAATGTCAACCTAAAACTTCAAATCAAGTTTTACAGTATAATTAGTGATCAAGGTATGGTCACGGGTACTGTCTGTGACCACTTCACCAGTAGTCACACAAAGGCATCAAACTGAAACATAAAGACAATATAAGAGCAGAAATATTAAGAATTAATTCCTTGCAGGGGCTGGCTGAGTGGCTCAGTTGGTTAAGAGCACGAGCTCAGAGGAACAGGATCGCCGGTTCGATTCCCACATGGGCCAGTGAGCTGCGCCCACCTGAGTTGCTGCTGAGCTGCCAACAGGTGGCAGGATGGCTCAGCTGGTGGGAGCACATGCTCCTAACAAAGTTGTTAGTTGACTCCCACATTAAATGGTGGGCTATGCCCAAACACAACTAAGATTGAACACAGCACCTTGAGCTGAGCTGCCCTGAGCTGCAACAGCAGCTGAACGGCTCAGTGGTTAGAGTGTCCACTCTTAGCAACAAGGTTTCCGGTTGACTCATGGAATGGTGGGCATAAGATTGAACACGGCACCTTGAGCTGAGCGGCCACGAGCTGCTGCCTGGTGGCCAGATGGCGACTGGACTTGGAGCTGAGCTAGCTGCACCCTCCACAACTAAGACTGAAGGACAACAACTTGGCTGTTCCCTTTCCCCATTCCCCAATAAAAAAAATCTTTAAAAAAAAGAATTAAATCCTTGCTACTACCAATTTCCCAATTGGAGAATATGCTGAGGGTAATTCTGCAGTGCAAATGAATAAAAGGTAAATAGGGGAATCCTCCATAGGAGGCAGGTTTCAATAGGAGTCATCTTATGACTATTTCTAATTTACTTGTATTATTACCAGACAATGTGGCCTGTAAAACCTCAACTTTTCTCATCTGTTAAGACTTTCTTTATGAGAAATGTATACTGAAATCCCATACCATTACTGCTCCCAGTAATCAATGGCATTTCTTGCATTATTTTTACTTTATGTATTCAGCTATTTAGCTGTACAAACATATGATTAGATCTTCATAAATTATGCCTTTTATTATGACAATAACCCATTTATTAATTCGATGCTTAAATTAGAATTGTTTTTTATTGTTTCCCTGTGCCTTAGATATTTACCCATCTCTTTATTATTCATATTTCTTTATCAAATTTTCATAAGTTTGCTTCTTCTAAACGGGACATGGTTAGGTGTTGTTTCTTAATCTAGTCTTGACAATTTTTCTGGCACAACAGAATCTATTCACATTTAATATAATGACTGTTATACACTGATTATGATTACTTCCAACCAAATTTTTAAATCAACCTTAATGAGTGATTTACATACAATAAAATGCAACCACCTCAAGTGTACAATTTGATACCTTTTCATAAATGTACACCCGTGTAACCCCCAAACAAGATATAAAACAGTTCTATCACCCCCCAAAATGTCCCCTCATACCCCTTTGCTAGTAATCTCTCCTACCACTGATCTTATTTCTATCATTATAGACCAGTTTTGTAGAACCTGATTTAATGTAATCACACAGAGATCGTTTCAATAGTTTGCTCCTTCCTACTGCTACTTGTTTATCCATTCTCTTGCTGATGGACATTTGGATTATGTAGTTATATGCTCTTATGAATAAAGCTGCTAAGCACACTTCTATACAAGCCTTTATGTGGATATGTGCAGACATTTCTCTTGGATAAATACATAAAAGTGGAATCGCTGGATCAAAGTTTAGATATACACCTAAATTTTAAAAAACTGCCAAGTGTTTCCTAAGTGGTTGTACCACCTTACACTTTCATCATCGAGGTAAGAATCTTCTCTGCTCTCAGGTCTCTAGGACTCACCACCCTCACCCCTCCATCCCCCAGCCTCAAGCCCAGGGAAGTCTGCCCATCCATTCAGCAAACCAAACCACTTCCTATGAGAAGTCAGGAAACCTATTACACTCCAGGGGACACTAAATGAATAGCTGTGGAAAGAAGAAATAAATCAAAAAAGATCTGTATTTTCTTCCCATTACTAAATGCAGGTACTTTGCTTTCCCCCTAGTTACAATGGATAAACTGTCTAAGGATCACACCCTCTATCTGGGTCTAGAATTCTGAAACTCTACTCAATCAAGGGCATCACCAGAACAAACTTAATTTTAACCCCCACCCCGTATTTTTTTCCCTACTGGGTCAACATTAGACAAGTTGTTGGATTTCATCTTTTTCAAAATTATTGGAATAAACTTGTTAATATCCTCCTATGATTTTTTCCAGTTGGCTGTAGGATCTATAGTGATGCCCTTTGTCATTTATGATATCAGTAATTTGTTTTTTCTCTTTATCAATCTCTCCATCAGCTTATCAATTTTATTAGTGTTTTCTAACTCTTGTCTTTGCTAATCTTCTATAATCCTCTGTTATTCCCTGCTGCAAAACAAATACTGAACGCTATTTTCACTTTTCACCTTTTTTTGTAAAAGTGAAAATCCTCTTTGGATTTCTTTCAGTTAACAAAAACAGGGACAAATGTGGGTCTTTTGTAAAAGTGAAGTGGTGCAATGGGAACTTTCAAAAAGCAAGAGATACCTGTTCAATCTTAAATTTACTGAAGGTGAAAACTGTACCTTAAGACTTAAGTCTCTTAAAGCTATCTATATTCTTAAAAAATACACACTAAAGTATTTTAGTTTAATGGGTTGAGGGTCATGAGATAGATAGATAGATAGA